GGAAGGAAGGAAGGAAGGAAGGAAGGAAGGAAGGAAGGAAGGAAGGAAGGAAGGGTGGCAGCACACGCCTTTAGCCCCAGCACTTGGGAGGCAGAGGCAAAAGATTCTCCATGAGTTCCAGGCTAGCCACAGTGACAATCAGACCCAGTCTTAAAAGAAAGGAGGTGGTGGTGGTAGAATGGATTTAACAGTGAACCACGAAGAACAAAGACTTAAAAGTGTTTGCACAGTAAAGAGATTACCAGTCCTTGGACAAGTCACAAAATATGGCATGTTTTTAAACACACATTTGTGTATTGTGTGTGTGTGGGGGGGTGCGTGTATGCCACAGTATGTATGTGGAGGGAAGGACAACTTCAGGAGATGGTTCTTTATGTCCACCATATTGAGTGGTGAACATAGTTCAGAGGTTGAACTATGGTCATCAGGTTTTGCAGTGCCTTTACCTTCTGATCTTCTTACCTGATCCAGTTTTTAAATTAATTAGTTAATTTATATTTTATGAGTATGGGTTTTTTTTATGTATATCTGTGCACCACATGCATGCGCTGGTCATGAAGGCCAGAAGAGGGCATTAGATCTCTTGGGACTGAGTTACACATGGTTGTGGCCATTGCCATTATGGGGTGTGAATCTAACTTTGGTCCTCTAGAAGAGAAGCCAGTGCTCTTAACCACTGAACCATCTCTCTCCAGCTGCAAGCCCAGTTCTTAAAAAATCTATACTTAAAATGAAACTGATAATCATTCCTGTCCAGTGTATCACAGATCAAGTAGATTTGTGTATAAAAATGCACATAAAGTTCTCTGAGTCAGGAATGGTGGTATACATGTTTAATCTCAGCAGAAACAGGTAAACCTGTGTAATTTTGAGGCTGGTCTGGTCTATATATCAAGTTCCAGGCTGTTAGAGCTACACCGTGAGAGACTTTATTTCAAAAATAAAACAAAACTGAAGCTCCTCCCCAACTAGTGACCAAAAGTAGTTTATTGTTTTGAAGATTTTTTTTAGCTATAAAGCTGTTGTTTTTAGCAAAATTTTGTTTAGCAAAATTAATGCATGTTCATTTCAGGAAGCATTAAAAATACAAATAAAAATATTCAAAATTCCAAATAAAGAAAATGCTCCGAGAAACATGAAACAAATTACTAATTGTTTCTCAAATGCAGCTTGTATGAATTATAAATTGCTTCTCAATGAGAATTTGGTGTCTTTTATTTTCTTTGACTATGGTCTTAAATTATTTTCAGAGCTTACGATGTGGGACCACAGGAGTAGTGACTTTTATCAGAGGCAACATGCTCCACGTGGCATGGGTGGGCGATTCCCAGGTTATGCTTGTAAGAAAGGGTCAAGCTGTCGAGCTAATGAAGCCACACAAGCCAGACAGAGAGGTATGTATGGTCCATTCTACTCAAGCATGTCCTAAGGCAGTTCTGCAGTTACTAGGATTCCTTCCTATTATTGCCTTTAATCTCAACAACTCTACCACGCCCCTAAAGAAGAAATATAGAAAGCCTCTTCGCAGAGATGATGGGCAGTGGATCTGTTTACTGTAAAGTGGACGAATAAATCCTGACTCCAACTATTTGCTTTTTATTGTACTGCTCTAGGATGAAAAGCAGCGAATTGAGGCCCTTGGAGGTTGTGTAGTTTGGTTTGGTGCCTGGAGGGTGAATGGAAGTCTATCAGTATCCAGAGCTATAGGTAGGAAAAAACCATTAATTTTGTTTCTCCAAAATCTTCTACCTCTCTGCCATGTGTTAACTTTGATATGAAGGGACTTGAGATGCTAACTTATCTGCTCAGAGTGCTTATTACTGTTTAAGATAATATCTGGATGCTTTTTAATGATTTAAGTACACCTGGCTATTTATACATTCAAATCTCAAGGAATGTTCAGTCCTATTCTTTTGATAGAGGTCTCCAGGTTAGTGTACAAACCTACTTGAAACCACACTGCTTGTTTCATTCTACATTTCCAGAAAATGGAAGCCTCTCCAAATTTCATATTGTTTCTATCTTTACCTCTTTCTTTTTCGGTGAATTATAAAATGACGTGAGCAGAATTCTTAGAAACAACGCACTTTTTATACAAAACTATTTTCTAAATACAGACTATCTTTTAGGAGAGAGGGTCTGCCTCGAGTGCTGGTATTAAAGGTGTGCACTACCATACCTGGCCCAGAAAAGACAATTTGTCAGATAATCCTGCGTTCAAGTTTATTTTTTCTTCTTTCCTTTCTCCTCATCCATGCTATGGAACAAATCTAGGGCTTCATCATGCTAGGCAAGGGCTCTACTCACCCAGGTCCACTTCCGGCCCTTACAAGCTTCCAAAGGAATTGGGTTCCCTAAAACTCAGTCTGTTTAAAAGGGCAAAGTGGCTATAAAAAGGCTCAATGATGATGGGAAAAATTATAGGTGTGACTTCAGGAATTGGCTGTGCCTGCCTTTGTCAGCTTCCCAGTGTTCTTTCTTCTTCAACACAGACTCACATGGAAGCCTACAGAATCCACTCAGTGTTGCTCATGTCTGTGCTGAGGGCTGACTGCTTGGGATCGCCAGCTTTTGAAGACTAAATGTGTGTTTCCTAGGTAGCTAAGCAGATACGCATGCACACCGTAACCTTTAAATTTTACCTCGCCAAACAAGTGAGTGGACATAGAGCTAGCATACACAAAGTCCATATCTAATCACCAAATTTAGTTTATCGTTACCAAAGATTCCAGAACAAGAAAACCTAAAAGATTTGGTTTAGTTTCCTCAGTTGTTTAAGCTCTTCCCACTCTTTGAAAAGGCGCTGCTGGCCAACTGCACCGCAGCCCAGACACGAGCACCAGGGCCGAATGAGAGACAGAGCTAGAAGAGCACCCACCCCCCGAAGAGCAGTGTCACCTCACAAGGAGGGAGCTATTCGGTGCTCTGGGACAGGGCCAAAGGGGGGAAAATCTCGAGCTTAAAATACACCTTTTTTGTTTTGTTTTTCGAGACAGGGTTTTTCAGTATCTGTGGAACAAACTGAAACTCGCTCTGTAGACCAGGCTGCCTCTGCCTCCCAAGTGCTGGGATTAAAGGTGTGCACCCCACCACCTGGCAAGCCTAAAATACACTCTTATATATACAATTATTTTTGACAACTAGAGCTGCTTAAGACGTCTTCATCTTCCTTTGGACTGTATTTGCCAGGAGATAAGAAAAAGTAGATAGATGCTGGCCCTGATTCTAAAGAGAGTACAAGGTAAAACCAGAGCAGAGTAAGAATGACAACCTAAGATGAAATAAGGTCAACATCACAGAGAAAATGACTTTTCAGTTGGATAGGGTGACATACTACATTTAGGGAGGGAAACCCCAGGGAGAGAAATACTTTTAGAAATAGCAATGAGTACAGGCGAGAGCAGACGGTGGAGTGGGCAATTAGAAGTGTTCCCGCCAGCCTGTGATGGGCTTCAGATTTGACCTTAAGTATCCTGGACTTCCTAGGTAAATAAGCAAAGGGACCACACGAGCACTTGCAGTGACGGCGTGGAATAGCTCAGCTTGGGGACCAAGTAGAAGGCTGGGGTGCACTGCTGGAGACGAGGACATCTAAAAAGGGAGACACGGGGGAGGGTGGACTGCTGAGACAGATGATAGTATGTAAGGACAAGGAAAACCAACTTCCAGGTTTCCGACTTGTGAGTAGGAAGACGCTAAGCATTTGTAATATAGCAGTAGCAGCTGGCAGGGGGTGAGTTCAGTTGGACATATTTTCAGTTCTAGGTACTGACGGGATGTCTTAGAAGAGATTTTGTATGTACTTGGAAATACAGATCTGGAGTTTAGCTGAAAGTTGAGCTGCAGCAAGGAATTAGTAATTCATTCTATCCTGGCAACATTTCATCTCTCATGTGTGCACCCACACATGTTGTAACTACAGGCATGAGCAGCACTGCCCAGAAAACATACACTGTGTAAAGATGAGGCCCATGACTTAAGAGTAACACACACAGTGGCCACACAGTCTAAGTCTGGATCTTAGCCACAATGGTTGTACTATTAGATCAAGGAACAAAACCAGGAAAAAGAGCGTTTCTAGACTTGGGTAGTCAGGGGTGCAGAGGTCCTGTGAGAGATGGGTTTAAAAAAAGAAATGGAATTATGGGCTGGAGAGACAGCTTAGCACTTGTTGCTCTTGCAAAGGTTTGATTCCCAGCACCCACAGGATAGTCTATGCCCCTCTGTTGGTTCCAGTTCCAGGAGATGTGATGCCGTCTTCTAACACGTTCCAGCACCAGGCACACAAAGTGGTAAACAGACATCCACAGACATTTGTGCACGTAAATGAATTTTTTTTTTTTTTTTTTTAGAGTGAGATTGAAATATTTATTCAGGGGGTTATGGAGGAGAAAGGGAGGGGGCAGAGAGAGAAAGGGAGAGGGAGAAGGAGAGGGAGAGAGAGAAAGAGAGAGAGATGGGGAGATGCACACAGCCCCAGAAGAGAGCAGTAAGAATGTCGTAAATGAATTTTTAAAGAAATGAAATTTTAAATCGGAAATAATTGGTAGTACCTGAGAGAAATGTTTTAAGTTGGTCTAAGAATATACTAATTAAGATATAGAAAGATGGACATGGTGGCACATGCCTGCAATTCCTGCACTTGGGAGGCTGATAGGACTGGGAGTTAGTGTCAGCTAATCTAGGCTACATAGTACAGTGTTAAAAAAAAAAGTAGAATTGAATATATTTGTAGAAAGAGAGTACGTAAGGGCTGGGCGGTGGAGGCACATATGCCTTTAATCCAAGCACGCGGGAGGCACAGGCAAGCGGATCTCTGTGAGTTCGAGGCCAGCCTGGTCTACAAGAGCTAGTTCCAGGTCAGGCTCCAAAGCTACAAAGAAACCCTGTCTTGAAAAGCCAAAAAAAAAAAAGAAAGAAAGAAAGAAAGAAAGAAAGAAAGAAAGAAAGAAAGAAAGAAAGAAAAGAAAAGCATTGAAAATGAGTCCTTTGCCTGAGCTCCAGAGAGATGGGAACAAAATAACTGACTCTGGTCGGGTATAGAGGTCAACTCTACCTACCCCCAACAACAAAAGTAGTGGTGGTGGGGACTATGGGCTTTTCCTTTGAATTTGTTTGTAGAAAAATTGAGGAAATTCAAGTCTTACAATTTTCTTTTAAGAAATTAACGAATCTACCAAGATCTAGTTTAATTGGCTTAAGGAATTGATGAATAAGGAGGATTTGGGGGCTCACAGGACAGGAGAAGGGACAAAGGGACAGTTCGGCTCCACTTCCAGCTTCTCCACTGCCTCACCCCAGAAGCCCTGCATCTATGAGCCAAAGCTGACAGAGGCATGGACGTTTTCTAGCATATGGACAGAGGAGGCTGAAAACAACAGGATGCTGCCATCTCTACCAGGAGATGGGTATTTGTGCCTTCCTACCAAATTTGGGGGCGAAATGCCATGAATTTGACTCTCAACACTGGAGCACTGAAAAGCCAGAGTTCTGGCACTGCTTCCGCTGTGCAAATCTTGTGTGTTCTGTTCTAAACCAACAGCTGTGCTAGTCTTCTCATTGTTAGCACTAACAAGATTTTTCTGGAATAGTGTAACTCAGATCACATTTATTTTTAGAAGTAGAGTTCAGAAAATAGTATTTCTATCAGGTAGAATAGGGGAAATGAAGTAAAGTGGACTGGTGAGGGTACTGCTCTTACCTTTAGAAGTTAGGATGAGCTTCACCAGTCTCTTGGGATACCACAGTAAGAAATGAAGTCAAAGCCATGCTTTTAAGAGGCAAGAGTGGTGGTGCACACTTACAATTCCAGCTGCTGGGAGGTGGAGGCAAGAGACATTCAGGGGAAGCCTTGGCTACAAAGCAAGCTGGAGGCCAGCATGGGCTATGTGCATGAGACCTTGGCTAAAATAAAAAAACAAAAAACAAAACAAACAAACAAAAAAACAAGTAGGCAAGATAGTGGATTAGAATTATCCAAGTGAGAACAGGCGTGAAGCTGGGAATATATAAGGTCAAAAGCCCCTGTTTCTTACTTACAAATACATTAACCTAAATAATTATATCCAGTAAATATCTAGCTATTCAACATGCTGGATACAGCATATAGCCCACGCTGTTTGTAGCTTATCCACAGGGCTCCTATTGAAGTGTTTTGAGGCTATCTGACATGTCTGACATCAGATACTAGAATTAATGAAGTATATAGTATATCCTTTGTCTAGGGCAATGAACGGTGGTAACTAATGAGAACTTGTATACAACAAATGGGGGAGCTAGCAGTCTGACACCAGTGCTGCCATCCTAAACACTAAGTTATAGGGTGCTACTTCACTGTCGTTTGGTGGCTAAGGACAACAGCTGGCTCTTTTCCAAGTGTCTAAAGAAAAATAACAGAATAAAACAATGTAGGAATCTGGTAAGGTCTGTATCTTCAAGTTCCGAAATCTCTCTAGAAGATGGGTGATCTCAGCAGCCGTAAGAGAAACCTGTGGGCTCAAGGCCTCTAGTGTGTTGGACATCACTCCCTAACTCTGCCTTGTGTCTGCTTATATTGTTAGTAAGTGTGTGCAGTCAGGGGTGAGCAGTCAACACAGGTGGTCATCTCTGAAGACAAGAAGACATTTACTGTGAGCTTCCTGTCTCTTCTCCAGCCATTAAATAAAACAGCGTCAAAGGGAAGCACCAGAAACCAAGTAGTCTATATTGTAGCTCTGTGTGGGACTGTTGATAAGGCCCACACATTCCCTGAGCTTTAGGGAGTCACATTTGGTTTTAAAGTCTCTTGTAACTCAAACCTTTCTCCATGTTCACAACATGAACCTACTTAATAATTTCTAGAAGAGTGATAGAAAATTCTTTAATGAACTCAGCCCACCCCCATGTTCTCAAGTTGCAATTAAACCAAGTCTGATCACCAGTAAGAGAACAGCTCTCCCGAACCGACAGTTCTCCTGTGTATGAGTGATATTTTCAGTACAGCAATAAAGTCTAAACTGTAGCCAGAGGCACAAGGTCGAGACTATACAGGGATTGAGGAATTGAGCCCTGCAACTTGGAGTTTTTAAACTGGGATTAAAGTATAAGCAACATCAAAGTAACATAGAATTCAAGTGTTTCAGTTACAATTTTTAAATAAAAATTTCCCACTAAATTACAACTAATCCTAGTATTGACCATAGGCATTCTAAACATAAGTGAGCCACACTTGCCTTCTGATGACCTTCCCTTCTAATTCCCACAGGAGATGCTGAACATAAGCCATATATCTGTGGAGATGCAGATTCTGCCTCAACTGTTTTGGATGGGACTGAAGACTACCTCATTCTGGCCTGTGATGGCTTCTATGATACCGTGAACCCTGATGAGGCAGTGAAGGTTGTGTCTGACCACTTGAAAGAGAATAATGGAGACAGCAGCATGGTTGCCCACAAATTAGTAGCATCAGCTCGTGATGCAGGGTCAAGTGATAACATCACTGTTATTGTGGTATTCCTGAGGGACATGAACAAAGCTGTAAATGTTAGTGAGGAATCAGAGTGGACAGACAACTCTTTTCAAGGAGGGCAAGAAGATGGTGGGGATGATAAGGAGAATCATGGAGAGTGCAAGCGCCCTTGGCCTCAGCACCAGTGCTCAGCACCCGCCGACCTAGGCTATGAGGGGCGTGTGGATTCATTCACTGATAGAACTAGCCTGAGCCCGGGGCCCCAGATCAACGTGCTGGAAGACCCAGACTACTTAGATCTCACACAGATAGAAGCAAGCAAACCTCATAATTCCCAGTTTTTGCCACCAGTTGAGATGATTGGTCCTGGTGCACCAAAGAAAGCAGATCTTACTGAGCTAATAATGGAGGAGAGATCAGTCAAGTCATCATGGCCTGAACGGAATGGGGCTGGAGAGTTTCTGGCTTCTTTTAATTTGGGGTCAACAGGGCAACAGATATGCAGAATGGAGAGCTTGTCTCCTGTCTGTCCTGGGTTGGAAAATGAACAGTTCAAATCCCTGGGGAAAACAGCGTCTAGATTGTATCATTTACGCCACCACTACTCCAAAAGGCAGCGTGGATTCAGGTTTAATCCAAAGTTTTATTCATTTCTTGCTGCTCAAGAGCCTTCTTACAAAATAGGCATTAGCCTCTCCTCCCTTACTCGAAGTGGGAAGAGAAACAAGATGTTAAGAAGTTCTTTGCCATGGAGGGAAAATAGTTGGGAAGGATATAGCGGAAACATGAAGATTAGAAAGCGTAACGATATTCCATGCCCAGACCTTCCCTGGAGCTATAAAATATAAGACTTTTCTTCAATGTAGGTTAGCTAGTTCTCTCAAAACACAACTCTCAGTAGAAACAAGGTAGACATTTCTAAGGTACATGTGCTTCATTATGAATCCATTGATGGCTCAATCTTTAAATGTACATAGATCTCTAGGAAATTCAAAATAGTGTTTTCAATCTTAAAAAAAAAAGTATTGGCGGTTTCACTAGCAAAACCATACAACTGGTCCCTGTGATGTGTCTCTACACCTACATACAGCTCCCTCTCAACCATCCCTTCATGTCACTAGTGGAAGCTTGGAAGTGATTCCAGTCAGGATATACGGTATGGCAATCGCAGGTATCTGGCCTGATGTGCCTGACCTAAAGGAAACAGTGCAGAATTAAACTGTTTGGGTGAAGGACTAAAAGTCACACGGGTCTTAACCGCTGATGAAGTGAACCAGGACCAAAGTGCCATCTTCTCAGACTTGAAGGCAGTATGCAGTAAGATAATGTATTCATTTTTCATAGAAAATGAAAGGCAACTATGAATATTTTTAATTAAACTATTTCACAGGGTTTTAGTTATTTGAAAGTTTCATAACCTGTTATGGTGCTTTTGGTGGAGACCCCTGCGGCTGGCTGCCACCTGGGACTGGCAGCTCAGGGTGACAGTGGGGGTGATGGCAGGCACGACGACAGAAGACTCAAATGCCATTTAAAGGAGCTGGGGAAATAGCACTTCTCTATTTTCTGATTTTTAAGAAGTTTACAAACAGCAAAGGCATATATGACTATAATATAAAACGTAGTTTGAGTAATGAAAACATGACAGTTTTAACTTCTCTAAAATGGTTTTCCCCAAGGGAATGAAGTAATTGGTACGAAGGAGACTGAGTGCAAACCCAGAGGCCATGTGCACAGGACAATGCAAATTACCGAGGGCCCGGCCACCCGCTTCAGACCACACTGACAGGTCATGTGCTTCTCATTTCAATACTTATAGTCTACAGTTTAAAATCATCTACTTTTTTGCCATTTCTACAGTTTCAAACCAGAAACATGTCTTCACATAAAGACAGCAAATACGCTTATCAGATATGTTCAGTGAGGCAGCCTGGTTTATCTCAGTCATGAATGTTTCCATGTTCCCCACCCTATCACCCATGGGCTAGCCGGGCCAACAGGCAGAAGTAGCCTAGCTGGACCCATTGCTCACACAGTGGAGGCACAGCCACTGCCTAATCATGTTTTGTGTACTCCACATAACACGCAGCATTCTCCGCTCCATATAGACGAAGATCCTCCGTGTCAGAGACATGGATAACTTGAGCATATCACAGGTACCGGCAGAGCTACATCACACCATCAAAGACCAAATCCTGGCTGCTCTTCAGCAATGGTTAAACTGTTAACCTACAGCTTTTATTTTTCAAACTTTGAGTCTAAGTGGAGACTTTCAGTATTTGTTTTCTGTTGACCTTGGAGTCATTTATTCTTCTCTCCAGTCTTGTGACACACTGCTGAGAAGGAATAAATGTGGCTCCACCTCAACACGATTAGGATTTCATCATCCTTCTGATGCCTGCCCCATAAATGGACCTCACTCGCGGTCATTTCTTGAAGCCTAGATCTTGCTGACAACCCATCAGGTACAGGGCCAGTTTCAAACCCAATTTTTAAAGAAACAAGAAAACAGAGGCAGAACACAGGTGCACATACAGCCCCAAATAGCTAAGTACATTCAGAAGAATTTCTGTGGTTATCTACTGGTAATGTTTTTGATCAGAATAAGGAGAATAGAAGAAAAAAATGAGGTGATAGGCTTTTTATTGGTGGGGTAAAGATGGGTGGATGAAACTGGGGCAAACAGACCCATTTTTGAAAGGTCTGATCTGTAGGTCTGAATACACAGCAGTGTTAACTCCATTTCTCATGTCATTAGCTCTCTAGAAAATAGAGAAAAGTACTTCTAGTGTGGTCAAGTTAATAAACCAATACTGTAAAAACTAACTCTTCATCTGTTCACAATGTGCGTATTTATAAGGTAGTTAGGTACCATTTGTACGGTAAGTCCTTTAACATAACATTCTATAATATTAAAGTAGTGGTTATTGGCCTGATATATGCTGCTGTTGGTTCTATAAACCAGATGAGAAGCAGTGCTTTGTGAAATGCAGTGTTAAACCTTAATGCCACTGGTGATAGGAAGTAGTTCCCTTCAGTTCAAATCCTCTGCCCTCATTTGCTGCTTGCTAATGTAAGCAATAAGTAACCCTCTAACTAATGGTATCTATACATTGCTGTAACTTATATTTAATGATGGTGTATCTGGTGATTGTAAAAATATTAGACAGATATAAAAGTATCTATACAATATATATTCACTGTAAATGCTGAGGTATAGTCTGTGAATTATGTGTTTTGTACCTCTATTTCATTGTGCAATTTAGTGGTGGTGAAAGTTCAACACTCGATCCTTAAAGAGTGGCAGTGTCCTTTTTTCAGTTACCATGATCTGCATCAACTTGTTTGCTTGCTAAACCAGTTTCGTTACAGTAGGAAATAGCAAAACAAATATAGACAAGAACGTGTAGTAGTGATAGGAAAGCAGACTTGGAGTCACCAACTGAGGGTACCACTCCTTGTACATTCACTGTGAGTTGCAAAGGGCATTAGTCCCTAATTTCAAACGTTTCCTTTTTCACTATTTTTTAGATATGTACATTGGGAAAGCTATCTGAGGTTGGCAACATTACAGCACCAAATCTTGGAGCTATTAATTCTATTTATGTCTGTACAACAGAGGTCAAACAGAAGAAAAGCATGTATATACTTTTTCTTTACCTACAAGTGCCATCCATTGTCCTTGAAGTAATACAATTAGAATCCATGTTGCATTTAATTTAAGTAGGAGGCACCTTGAAAGCAACATCTTTTCAAAGGACAATGTCAGCGATGTCAACACTAAGTCTAACCCTGACCACATTTATAGTGGTACAGCATCAACACTGCATTTTCATGACCACCACACGTCATTGCTAGAACACTGTGCCAGTAAGAAGTGCAACATCCAAGGGGCAGACGAAAAGGACGCAGCTCAGTGTTGCAGATAAGCGGCTGTGCTCAGGAACTTCCTCCCATCAAAGGCTTGCTGGGCTTGTGTGAAAAAAAGATCTAAATTATTTTAATTTTTAAACTTAATTTGCTCATTCAATGAGCTTTTTCACCTAAGGCTACAAAAGAGGACACTACAGTTTTGTTCAGATCTTTGTTTGGAAAACTTTTCTTTGGATCACAAATTACTAAAAGATTTGTTTTCACCTTTCAAAAACAGGATAAAAGACAACCCCCCCTCTTCTGTTTTGATCTATGAAAAGATGGTTGTTTCTTCAAAACAAATGATAGCCAGTATTATAGCAGCCAGACAAACAGAAGTGACCGGAAAAACGCCGTTGCATCCTTCAGCAGCATTTTATCTATTCAAGTCTATTTATTCTGCTAATTGGAAACACAAGTGAGGGCAGGGGATTCTGCTGACACAGCAGCGCTCTTGAAAAGGAAATACTTTAATTATCTTTGATGTATTAGATAATGCAGATACATCATTGTAATCTCTCTAGGTGCTCTTTGGTGAGAGACAAGCTTTCTCTTATTCATGACATTTCTCTGGAAAGAATTCTCTCTGGAGTGAAGTGAGTGAAGTCACGATTTACAAACCCACTCTACAGATCACTTTTGAGTTGAGTTGTAATCATAAGTGATCTTTCATGTTTTATTTATTAAAACCATTTATTCAGGTAAGGAGTATGTTGAAATTTTGCCAATATCTTAATAAAACTCAGCAATTAAAAAATAGTTATTTGTCTTATTCATAAAGTATTAAGTTGAGTTACTCAGTGCTTAAACTAGACAGATCATTCAGCCTTAAATAAAACCCTCACAATCTTCAGGGGCTTTGAAAAATCTTTTATTTCTATGTAGTATTGGCTGTCCTGGAACTCACTATGCAGACCAGGCTGGCCTCAAAGTTGGAGATCCGCCTGCCTCTGGCTCCCAAGTGCTGAGTTGTTGCAAGGAGACTGTTTGTCCCAGCTGCCCAGAACCGAAATAATCACACAGAAACCATGTTCATTAAAGCACTGTTGGCCCATTAGCTCTAGTTTCTTATTGGTTAGTTCTTAGATCTCAATTTAACCCATTTCTATTAATCTGTGTATCACCACATGGCAGTACTGCAAAGCTGGAGAGAGAAAGAGAGAGAGAGAGAGAGAGAGAGAGAGAGAGAGAGAGAGAGAGAGAGAGAGAGAACTTCCATCAGTTGCCTGGTCTCAGAAGATCTACAACCTTATCAACAAATCCCACAGTTGGCTTTCTGGTGTTGACAGCCTCATCCTGAGGTTTGTTAGAATAAACTACCAGCTTCCAACCATATGATTCCTGTCACCTAGGGGAGTCCAAGGGCTTAGAAGCTACTTCCCAGAACATGGATCAGAACAGCCAAGACTACATTATCACATATATGACAATCTTACTCATAGGCAGAAAATCCCCTTCAGAATGAAAACCGCTCACATAAAAGTCTGGTCAGAAACATGCAAGACTGTAAATGACCCTAATTCTTTAAGCAGGCAAATGAATTACAGTGGAACAACTAGTGGAATGCTCCCTGGCAAAGCAAGCAAAAACAAGTACTGATCACAAAGACAGATAAAGGTGCTGTGCTTTACGAACTGTGTGGCTGTACACTGTGTGCGTCTATTTCTATGACACAATGGAAAAGGGAAAATTAAACAGACAAAGAAGAGTGGTAGCCAGAACTCTGGGGAAGTGTGACTTACAAACGTCCACCACAGGGGATTCTTAAGAAGACTGCAGACTGTCATGATCAATCTAACTTTAGTAACATTGAACCACAGAATCACAATACAGAGAGCAGAAAAGAAAGGTGCTACAGTAGTCTTGAAGTTGAGAACTTAAAAATGACATGCTATTGAAAACCTGAAGACTATAAGACCTGTACACCAACTGGGTACCAGGGCATGGATCCAGATACTGAGGAGACTGAGGAAGGAGGGCCCCTTGAGCAGAGGAGTTTGAGCCAGCCTGGGAAGTATATAAAACCCCATTTCAAAAACACACAAGTGATAGTCAAAAGATTTCCCCCCACAAGTATAGAGGTCAGATATATCATTATTGAATAAATAATAATTGACTTAATGTTAAAAAGAGAAAAATAGAAAGGAAAAAGCATGGGCTGAGCGTGTTAATACACACTTTTAATCCCAATACTTAGGAGGCAAAGGGAGGCGAATCTGAGTTGAAGCCAGCCTGGTCTACAGAGTGAGTTCCAGGATAGTCAGGACTACACAGAGAAACCCTGTCTTGAAACACCCAAAAAGAAAGAAAGCAAATAATATACCATAGGCAATGATCCAGATTTCACATGGTTGGCTATTACAGTCGCAGCAAAGCCTACAACGAGCCCTGTAGGATTCACCCACATTTTTTTTTCTAGTAAAAAAAAACACACAAAAACCCTCCCAAAAACCACTTTAGCTGGGAATAGAGGCATATGCCCATGATCCTAGTATTCAGGAGCCTGAGGCAGGCCCAGTGTGGGCTACATGAATGGCCTAGAGTTCATATGCACACCTACCCAGCGGCTGAGCGGAGTGACAGTACCGCTCTGACAGTGAGCACACACCTCCACTGGTATTTTGTTTCTAATGTGATTTTCAGTAAAAGTTCCTCAAAAAGTTTAATCGTAGCTGAGCATGGAGGCTCACACTTTTAATTTCAGTACTTGGGAGGCAGAAGTGGATGGATCTCTGTGAGCTCAAGGTCAATCTGGTCTACATAATGGATTCCAGGTCAGGTAGGGCTACATCGTCTCATTATGGAAGAGAAAACACAAGGTGAACTTTTGGATCCTTTGATTAAAATACAAGAATGTAATAACAAGTCAGGAAGTGATGGTGCATACCTTTATCCCAGCACTTGGGAGACAGAGGCAGGTAGATCTCTGTGAGTTCAAGGCCAGCCTGGTCTACAGAGGAAGTTCTAGGACAGGCTCCAAAAAGCTACAGAGAAAAACCTGTCTCGAAACCTTCCCCCCAAAAAGAATGTAAAAATAGGACACATTAGAGCCAGGCATGGGGACAAAATTTGGGAGGCAGAGCAGTAGACCTCTATGAATTTGAGGTTAGCCTCGTCTACACACAGTGCCAAATCAGACAAAGTGACACAATGAGACTACCTCAAAACCAAACACATTACAAGGGTAAAATGAATGCAGCTCAGTTGTCAGCATATACAAAGCCCCAGGTTCAAACCCCAGCTCTGATACGGCATGGTGGCACAGTCTTGTAATCCCAGTACTCCTGAGACTGGAGGACTAAAAGCATCAGAAAGTCAGTGTCATCCATGTCATCTATGACAATCCTAGATCTGTCTTAAAAAAATAAAGTACTGCAAACAAGATTCATTACATGATCATTGCTATGGTTACATATGGCACTAACAAAAGGAAAAGCTGGGTCAAGGTTAGATAGGAATTCTTACAATTTTCCTAATTCTTAGAAATCTAAAATTATCTCAAAATAAAAACAATAACAACAACAACAAAATAGGACAATCTTTCAGCTTTTTATTTGTGTTTGCTTAAGCAAAATAAACTGAAAAAAGTATTGTGTCCAAATTCAGAGCATTGCATAATCTCCCTGAATTTCCCATGTGGGGGCAACATAAACTTGTCCATCTCAAAAATGACAAGGGCTCAATGAACCTTGTCAAAATTATTCTGAAACAATAGGATCACATACACACTTTTAATCCCAGCACCTGGGATGCAGAGGCAGCCTGGTCTACATAGTGAGTTCTAGGCCACCCAGGGCTACATAGTAAGAGCTTGTCAAGAATTTTTTTTAAAAAAAAAAAAGGCTGAAATTAGTGACATGGCCAGCACCACACCTGCACCGGCGCCAGGCAGTTCACAAGTGGCTGTGACTCCAAGAACGAAGTCTTAAGCCCCCTTCTGGCCTAGCCAGACATCCAAATCACATATACATAAATGAAAACTTAAGAATCCTTAACAACAAAAAAAAAACCTAAGTATTTAAGGAAGGTTTCAAGTAAAATGAAGGTGGGTGGTTCCTGAGGAATGACACCTGAGGTTAGCCTCTGACCTCAACATATATGTGCACCTGCGAACACACGAGCACACACATGAACACAAAACAAACACACCTTAATAAAAAAGGTACAACAGAAAGGCCAATAAAATTTACATCCAACAAAAAAAAGAGAAACTTTTTTTCTTAAAGAGCGGTAGGAAGGTTGATGATCAGGGAACTAGAGGCGCAAGAAGACAGGGCAAACAGCAGCGCAGGTGTTCTGCTCTCACGCCGCTGCCCTTCTACCTGCCTCTGAGCACAGCCCAGTGGGCACAGTTTCTCCTGGCACCGTCAAAACATTGGTATGCCTGATACTACAGCTCAAGGGTGATGTGCTTGTCTAGATGCCAAACCTTTGGGCTCCTTTCCCAGCAATATCAAAATGCCAAAAGCAAAGCACCACCCAGGAGGATACTTTGGTATATAGGATGCTAGGGATGAGGGTAAGAACCATCCTTTCTGCTGGTGGTGCACTCCTTTAATCCTAGCACTCTGGAAGCAGAAGCAGGTGGATCTCTGTGAGTTCAAGGCCAGGCTAATCTATAGAGTGAGTTCTAGGACAGCCAAGGCTACACAGAGATACTCTATTGCGAAACATACACACAAAAAGAATATTCTTTCCATAGATTCTACTTCTGTCATTTATGAAGAAATCTTTTGTTTTTTAAAAGGAAGTCTAGACTAGAAGCCCAGCCCTTAACAAAATGCCACTGCAATAAAATAAAACATGGCCTTCTGGTCCCACTGTCAATAAATTGCAGAGGCACATTCTCTCAAGTTAATTTTATTAACAAAAATTGCAAGCTGTTTAGAAAAAAGTAAACTATAAATCACAGCATTCAGCAAGCCATCAGCCATGGGGAGTGGACAAGAATCACTAAAACAAACAGGTGAGCGCGCTCTCGCGTACATACAAGCCATGCTTCTGAACAATCTCTTAGCCAACTGTAAGTGTAACTTTCACAAACATATAATAGCTCAAACAACTTGGAAGCACAGTGGCAAAGTTTGGCAATCATTTGGGGTAATTAGGAATGAGAATAAGTCTTACACACGGTTTCATGTTGATGCAAGATTGCAATATGCATAAATCTTTAAATGCACTCACTGAAATCAATGTCCAACCAATGGAAATAGTTTAAAAATATTAGTTGCACTACAGTAGTGTTTCAGGAAGCAGAAAAGATGAAAAAATTTCAAGTGACCTCACATGTGTTCATAGAACCTATCCACCAATGCCTTAACTGACTCAAATGACCCCTGTAAAGGTCGCACAATTGCATGAAGATGTGCCATTAACCAGTATGCCAGCACTTGAACAAGTGAGAAAAATAAATAAAATTTAGGCTATCATCGTATTTCAAAGAGAAGGGTCAATCTAGTGTTGCTATAGTTACTCAGGGGAAGTGTCCACTGTTCATAAGCAACTTTTCTGTTCACTGTTATACTGGCCCTAATGAAACTACAAACTAATGAAAACTTAAATACGGTCATCTAAACCATGTGTCGAGCCTAAGACAGAGAGCACCGAAGCTGAACGAATCAGAGTCATGCACTGCCTCTGGGTGCTTTCTGGCACTTAGTTGGCTCTCAGTACTGGGGACAAGCTGCCTTTGTTAATGCGCTAATTTGCTAAATTAACAGAGCACTACACTGTTAGTTAGTTCATGACATCAGAAGGAACCCTTTCCCTGCTTAATCTTTTCCCCATGTACTATTACTGTTTTGTACTAGAATTGGGCTCCTTCTAACAGTTTCAAAGTTACTCTTTCAGGTAGAGATGGTGAACAAATGAGACTAAATCTGATTATCTGACTGCTGACAATTTTGAGCACCAACTTGCAACAAATTTCAGGGCCCAGGTAGCTTGTAACTCGGCTCTCATGTCTGGCAATTACCTTCCACCGCCTTCATCAGTACTGAAGTGGAGATTTTCAGGGTCGATTTGCTCACCATCAGGAAAACTGGAATGTGAATCTAAGAAAAAAATTGAAAGAAAAAAAAAAGCAAATGTCAGAAGGCATGTTTTTTTTGCTCAGTCTTTACATGATCTTACCAAAAGTTTTACTGATAAAGATATGTTAGGTACGGAACAAGCCTGTCTTCAGAGAATTTGTGATTTAAGTTAAATGTACGTAAGGAGGAAAAAACATGTATAGACACCCACAATTAGAAGAGGAAAGCCATAATTACACCTCATCTTTCTGGGACACTGCCCAAGGAACAAAGATGGTGGCATTCTCCAGTCTCAGAGTCCTCACACAATAAACTGCCTAGACAGTAATCACAGCAAAATGCCACCAGCATTCTAAGCTGCCTCAAACCTGGACACTTCTGTAGAAGCAGAGAGAATTACTGAAGATGCCACAGTACGTGCAAAGCACCAAACACTTGTTGCTGTACTGAGAAGGAACCAGAACTAGGAGAAGGCAACCCCAGCGTAAGTCTGGTACCTCACAGTGTACTTTCCTTTTATACTGTATCGTTACATTCAGTCTGTGCAGCAGAAATCCCATCAAAGCACAGAAAATTAAGCTGTCCTAAAATAGAAAGAGCCAGGAAAATGGCTCAGTGGGTATAAACTCTTGCTGTTTGCCTGACAACCTTAGTTAAATCCTGACCACCTTAGCTAAATCCTTAGAAATGGATTTGATGAGAGACATCTGTAATCCCAGCATTTCCATGGCAAGATAGGGGCAGAGACAAGAGTCAGCCAGACTCACGAGGCCACCCCGTCTGGAGTATAGAGTGCAATGGCAGAGTCAAGGAAGACCGCCACAAACCCAAGTGGAAGGAGAGAACTGATTCCCCAAAAGTTGTCTTCTGATTCCCATATACTCGTTGACATGCACAACCCCATACTTACACACAAAAACTTTTAAAAAGATCAGGTTCCACTGTATAGCTCTGGTTGTCTTGGAACTTGCTCTGTAGATCAAGTTGGTCTTGAACTCAGAGATATGCCTACCTCTAAATCCCTGCTGGGATTAAAGTCATGCACTACCACTCCTGGCATAAATAATTTGAGGGTGGGGGGAGTAGGGTTTCAAGACAGGGTTTTTCTGTATAGCCCTGGCTGTCCTAGTCTGTAGATCAGACTGGCCTTGAACTCAGAGATCCACCTGTCTCTGCTTTCTGAGTGCTGAGATTAAAGGCGTGTACCACCATCGCCCAACACAAAAAAAAAATTTTTAAAGAAAAAAATAGATTTCTCTTGTTCAGTTTTTTTTCACTAAGAATTCTTTTCTAGAGGGAATAGGAAGGAATAAAAAACTGACTCCAGGATTTGTATACATGCATAAGACATAAAAAGGTTTTAAAAGTTATAGTATGCTAGCAAACAGAAGAAGTTCTGAAGAGGGGGAAAACATAAAACGAAAACTAAAAATCCCCCCCACATAAAACTTCTGCAGAGGATGGGAAACACTTCCTATAACAGGATGCAGATTAACTATTTAGGTGCTATAGCCTGCCCACTGTCCCTGCTGAAAAGTCTTTGAAGTGTCCTTGGCCACAGCTACACGACACCAGGCAGGAAGTGGCACTCAGGTGGCTAACTGGCCAAACAACCTGACAACTTTCTCAGTCCTTACCATGTCGTTTAACACAGAACGTTCTCTCACAAATGACAGTAAATTTTTAAAAAGAAGGAAAAGCAGCAGAGCAGAGAGTGCAGCAGCAGCGATGCTCTTAGGAACCTGTGTAAAATGACAACACGCGGCACCTTCATCTGGGGGCGGAGCCAGGAACGGATCACTGAAGGACCCCATGCTGGTGTGCTCTTCCTGCTCCTCGTTCTCAGTGTCACATTCAATGTCGCTGTCGCTACTCATTCCTGGGAGGCAGAAAGGGGAGAACACGGCTGTTAAGAACCTACTGTTGGCGAAAGGAAAAGGAAAGCTGGCGAGGGCGAGCTGAGCCCTACTGATTCTGCGCCGCAGTCCCACACACCAAACACACGGACACAGTAGCCACACGCGCGGCAAGGCTCTGCTTTTTTCAGAGCATCACTTTTACTTTTCTCTTCAATTAAATTTCACCTGATGGTGAAAAAAATTCCCACATTTAACGTTTCCTTAGCAAGTTGTAAGAACAAAACAACAAAACCCCCGAAATAGGCACTTTTTCGGTCTAGTTTATTATAAGGACTAATGGTTTCCAGCAAAAAAAAAAAATTCACAAATACAAACATACATAATAGAAATGAATAAAAATTCCAAGAATTCTAGCAATAAATGGTTTTAGATCTATTTATGTCTCTCATGTGTGTGTACAATCAATTTTGACTTTAGATATTCAATAATATATTTTTCATTAACACACAGTAATTACAAACAGGGTGCAGTGTGTCACTTTAATGCCTGTTTATAATATGTAATGATCAGGATAGTTGTTGGGAACATACAAATACTTTCTACTAGCTATTATAAAATATATATTAATCATAGTTTGCCAGTTATCCTACTGAACTTTGGAGCACTAAGTTATCCCTGCTGTTCAACTGTTTCTTTATGCCCATTACCTATCCTCACTTCATTCTCCACACCCACCCACCCACCCACCCTTCTCACAATTTCTGGTAGCCACCATTTATTTATTTTTTTGTTTATTTATTTATTGGGTTTTTTTTGAGACAGGGTTTCTCTGTGGCTTTGGAGCCTGTCCTGTAACTAGTTCTTGTAGACCAGGCTGGCCTCAACTCACAGAGATCCGCCTGCCTCTGTCCCTCCCTCCCCCCTTCCTCGAGTGTTGAGATTAAAGGTATGCGCCACCACTGCGCGGCTGGTAGCCACTATTTTATTGTTCACTTCAGGATCAACTTTTTAACTTCCATATATAAGTGAGAAAATGTGTTATCTTTTTCTTTGTGTGCCTACTTTAATAAAACAATATTTAATAAAACAAAACTCTCCAGTTCAATCTATCCTGCAAATGATGTGATTTCATTTGTTTTTAAAGCTGAATAGTGTTCCATTGTTTATAGTTTCCTTGTTATATATGGAATACACTTTGTGTACCACCAAGCAGTGGTAGTGCAGGCCTTTAATTCAAGCACTCAGGCAGAAAAGGCAGACAGATCTCTGAGTTCAAAGTCAGCCTGGTCTAATAATCGAGTTCTAGGACAGCCAAGACAACACAGAGAAATTCTGTCTAGGAAAAACAAAACACACACACACACACAAAGCCAAAAAACATTCTGTCCCTTCTGTAGCATACCCTGAGCCTTCAGTTTGTGTTACATAGGTTAACAATTAGGACCAGGCCCCGAGTCTGCCCTCGGCACCTTGATCAGTCATAGCTTTCCATAATGGTCTCTGCTGTAGGAAAAAGTTTCTTTGATAAGTAAGAGGTCCACCCATCTCTTTGATGAGTAAAGGTAGAAAGAGCTACATTCATCTTCAGGTACAAGGATAAGCATGGAGAATGCAGCTACAATCGTATTCGTTTAGGGAAGTGGCAGTAGGCCTCTAGGACCCAAGCATGAACTCTCCCTAGTAAGAAGGCCTTAAGTTCCGTGAGACAGCTGTTGGCTACCCCCAAGATATTAAGTGCCACTACTGTACCTGCTCACTGCTGTGGTTTGCAGGGCTTACAGCTGGGCAGGGCTATCCACTGTTTTTCTCTCTGGGCAGAGTCTTCTAGTGGGATAAAGTTAGACTTCAGGGAGCAGGCTTCCAAGTCAGTCCAGCTCCATTCCTCCATGGCTTCTTTCTGAAGTGTGTGCTTTGCACCTTTTTTTGTGTGTATTTGTATTTGTGTGTGTACATGTGCATGTGAATTCTGAGACTCAAACTCAGGTCATCCGGCTTGGCAACAAATGCCCTTACCAGCTCGGTCATCTCACCAGCCCCCAAAATTAAAATTCTCTTTGAAAGAACACACACACACACACACACACACACACACACACACACACACACAAAGCTGGACAGTGGTGTGGTGCATCCCTTTAATCCCAGCACTCAGGAGGCAGAAGCGGTCAGATCTTTGTGAGTTCAAGGCTAGCCTGGTCTACAAAGTCACAGAAAAACCCTGTCTCAAAAAACCAGAAACAAAGTCTATCCATAGATATAAGAATAATGAGGGTCTGTAGATGATGGAGGGAGAGAACCAACTCCCTCAAGCAGATCCCCTAGGTTGATTGCTCTAACTTCCACATGGGAGCCACTGGGACATCACACATAATATACACAAACAAGTATAACTTTCAAAATTAAAAAAGATCAAGAAATTTTGTGTTTATGCCATGTTCATTAAGAGAAGAAAACTATTAAAGTCAGGTCTAAGTGCCATGTTTCAGTCAGTAGTGTCCCCAGAGGCTTACACACACCAAGCATTCACTCTGGTATTTAGCTCATGTGCAGCCTTTAGGTTTGGGATTAAAGCCAAGGTTCAAATCTCATGAATTTACCATGAGACCTGTTCAGGAGCTATTGTTATATGGATAAAGCAAATGTAGTCATCCTCTCTGGAGAGAAGGCTCTCACTTAACAGCAATAAACTGGACAAAATTCATGGCATAGCTACTTAATGACTCTGAAAACTAAGCAGGAGTAGGAACATTGCTGCAGTCAAATATTGAAGTGTCAACAAAATAGTCAACTCAGGTTTCATGAGATCATATGAAAATGTCCAGGATGAACCTGCTACCACTGGATCAGCCAAAAATATCCATGATGCAATCCAGAACCTGGAAAGAGCATCAATAATGAATGCCATGGTGACACAGACACTGGAATTCTCTAACAAGGGCTTTATAAAAAAAATTATTATTTATGTATTTTATGCATGATTGCTCTATCTGATGTATGCTTGTATGCCAGAAGAGGGCATTAGATCCCATTATAGATGGCTGTGAGCTATCACGTGGTTGCTGGGAATTGAACTCAGAACCTCTGGAAAAGCAGCCTGTCTGTGCTCTTAATTGCTGAGCCATCTCTCCAGGCCACTAACAAGGACTTCTAAATTTGCCACTAATACTCAGTGTCAAATAATTCTGAGAAAGTTTCCAGGACAGACCACAAGAATAATTGGGGAAGAAGGAGTCTCAAAAAAGGTGTGCTTTAATATGAACAACGCAGCTGGGCAGTGGTGGTAACTATCTTTAATTTCAGCACTCGGGAGGCAGAGGCAGGCAGATCTCGGTGAGTTTGAGGCCAACCTGGTCCACAGACTGAGTTCTAGCACAGAGAAACCCAGTCTTGAAAAACTGAAACAAAACCAAACACCCAAACCAATACAAACAATGTACCTGAATCAAGAGAATTTAAAAATTTAAAAACTTTCCATCAAAGAAAACTGTAGGGGATGGAGAAATGGCTCAGAGATTAAGAACACTAGCTGCTCTCCCAGAGGACCCAGGTTCAATTCCCAGCATTCACATGGCAGTTCACGATTGTCTGTAATTCCAGTTCCAGGGGATCTGACACCCACCGCAAAACACCAAAGTACAAAATAAAAATAAATAAAATTAAAAATACAGGCGGTGGTGGTGCACACCTTTAATCCCAGCACTTGGGAGGCAGAGGCAGGTGGATCTCTGTGAGTTCGAGGCCAGCCTGGTCTACAAGAGCTAGTTCCAGGACAGGCTCCAAAACTATAGAGAAACCTTGTCTCAAAAAAACTAAAAAAAAAAAAAAAAACCTAAAAAAAAAAAGATGTTTTCAAGCACCTAGGTGATTCTTCTTCAGAATTGAGAATAAAAAGGCTGTACCTGGGTTTTCTGAAATGTCTCTACTTATTTTGTTTTGTTTTTTTTTTCTTTTCTTTATTGAGCTCTACATTTTTCTCTGCTCCCCCCCCCTACCTCTCCGCTCCTCCTTCAATCCTCCTCCAAGGTCCCCATGCTCCCAATTTACTCAGGACATCTTGTCTTTTTATATTTTCTGCTTCCCATGTAGATTAGATCTATGTAAGTCTCTCTTAGTGTCCACATTGTTGTCTAAGTTCTCTGGGATTGTGGTTTGTAGGCTGGCTTTCTTTGCTTTATGTTTAAAAACCACCTATGAGTGAGTACATGTGATAATTGTCTTTCTGTGTCTGGGTTACCTCACTCAAAATAATGTTTTCTAGTTCCATCCATTTTCCTGCAAAATTCAAGATATCGTTATTTTTTTTCTGCTGTGTGGTACTCCATTGTGTAAATGTACCACATTTTCATTATCTATTCTTCAGTGGAAGGGCATTTAGGTTGTTTCCAGGTTCTGGTTATGGCAAACAATGCTTCTATCGACATAGTTGAGCACATGTCCTTGTGGCATAATTGAGCATCCTTTAGATATATAACCAAAAGTGGTATTACTGGGTCTTGAAGAAGGTTGTTTCCTAATTTTCTGAGAAATCGCCACACTGACGTCCAAAGGGGCTGTACTAGCTTGCATTCCCACCAGCAATGCAGAAGTGTTCCCTTTTCCCCACAACCTCTCCAGCATAAGTAGTCACCAGTGTTTTTGATTTTGGCCATTCTTTCAGGTGTAAGATAAAATCTCAGAGTTGTTTTGATTTGCATTTCTCTGATGACTAAGGATGTTGAACATTTCCTTAAGTGTCATTCAGCCAGTTGAGAGTTCTCTGTTTAGGTCTGTACTCCATTTTCTTTTATTGGATTATGTGTTCTTTTGGTGTCCAATTTCTTGAGTTCCTTGCATATTTTGGAGATCAGACCTCGGTCTGATGTGGGATTAGTGAAGATCTTTTCCCATTCTGTAGGCTGTCGTTTTGTCTTGTTGACCGTGTCCTTTGCTTTACAGAAGCTTTTCAGTTTCAGGAGGTCCCATTTATTAATTGTTTCTCTCAGTGTCTGTGCTGCTGGGGTTCTATTTAGGAAGTGGTTCCCTGTGCCAATGCGTTCAAGTGTACTTCCCAGTTTTGTTTTGTTTTTATTTTTTTGAGACAGGGGTTTCTCTGTAGCTTTGGAGCCTATACTAGAACTAGCTCTTATAGATTAGGATGGCCTTGAACTCACAGAGATCCACCTGCTTCTTCCTCCTGAGTGCTGGGATTAAAGTCTTGATCCACCATCGCCCAGCTGTTTTTGGTTTTTAAGACAGTTTCTCTGTGTAGCCCTGGCTGTCCTAGAACTTGCTATGTAGACCAGGCTGGCCTCTGATCTTCTGGCCTCTGCCTCCTTAGTGCTAGGATTAAGGGTGTGTGTCACCACCGCCCTTTTCATAAAGAACACATACACAAGGAACATTTTTGCTCCGAAGAAAGGAATATACAAGTATTCAAGTTTTGGGTTTGTTTTGAGACACTCACGGTTTTATTCCACAATGCAGTTTGGCCTAAAACTAACAGCAGCTCAGTCTGACCCCAAACTGAGGTCAACCCCTAGATTCATTTCCGAAGTACTAAGATGATGGCTTTGAGCCACAGTGCCCAGCTAGAACACATTATTTTACCAAACCCTAGCTCCATCTGTGAAGCAGCACTCCCACCTTGTGGCTTCTCATGGAACTGAGTCCTGAAAACACATGCTGACTCTCCAAATTGCAGCTCTCCACCTGACTTTTTAGACTCGTCCCTCACTGATGGTGCTTAGGAAACACTATTAACTAGAAGATGTTTTAGAAATACTACAATGAGAAGGAAATCTGTAGTTATAAAAAATTCTGAAATTGTCTATGTCAGCCGGCTGAAGCTGACTGGGAACACACACCCCTTAACAATATCAGATGCTTGAAATTCATGAAGAGGCAGGCAATTTGTTTTTTATCTACTAATAATTTACAGCTACCCTTCTCCCCTCCTTCTAAAGCTGTGGTTCTCAACGGCTGGTGCCCTTTAATATGATTCCTCATGCTGTAGTGACTCCAACCACAGAAGCATTCTGTTGTTATAAAGTAATCTTGCTACTGTTATGAATTATAAATATCTGCTATGTGACCCTGTAGGGGTCATTACCCGCAGGTTGAAGACCACAGTTCTAAAGGATAGTGGTTCTACACTGCTTCACACTGTTTGCGAGTCCTCCCTCCTCCGCAAGGCTGGAGTTATGGAATGGGACCAAGTTACCGAACTTCGCAATTTTCCTTAGAGGTGAGCAGTAAGCTACAAAATGAAGATAGGATTTACTGGTTTTGAGAAAAGCTTCCCTTGTTGACAGAGACACAGAGAATAAACAACACTCCCACGAATTCCAGGATGTGATTCAGAGTTCTTACCAAAATTGCAACTGAACTGTCACCCTCAGAAAAGCTAAGTCAATTCACTAAGACCTCTAATTCAGAGATGACATAGGAGGGGGAAAAAAAAAGTACAGGCTCACACCTGTAATCCCAGCATCAAGTACAGGCTCACACCTGTAATCCCAGCATCAAGCAGCTGGGAAGGCAGTAAGAACTTACAAGTTCACAGCCATTCTGGGCTATACAGATAGAAAACCGCTCTCAAAATGGGGAAGTGGAAGGCAGCTGTGCTGAAGTCCTGGGTTCCATCCTGGGTTCCACTCTCAACACAGCATAGCTTGGGCATATAACTCACCTCTGTAATCCCTGTACTTAAGAAGCTGAGAGATCAAAAGTTCAAGGTCAACCTCATAGCAAGTCAGAGGCTAGCCTGGGCTACAAAATAAATACACAATGAACATCTAAATTTTCAAACGCTGAAACCACCCTATCACAGTTATACATGTCTCACTTGAACTTCTAGAGTGTTACTTTCATTACTGTTTGACTCAGCTGCTTGTTGTTGTTGTTTTTTTTTTTTCAAGACATGGTTTCTCTGTGGGCTGTGCTGAAATTCACTCTGTAGACCAGGCTGGCCTCAAACTCAGAGATTTGCCTGCCTCTGCCCCCAAGTGCTGGGATTAAAGGCGTGTACCCCCACTTCCCAGTGCTTGATTTTTTTTTCTTTTTTTGATAGTTCATCTTGATTACCCTAAAGGTGACCAGCAATAGCAAGCTATCACAGTTGCAGATTTTTGTTGTTGTTGTTAGCTACTCTGCTAGCAATGTTTCTAACAGCTGTGCCAAGGCTTTCCCCATGGAATGGGTATTATGAGTACCCGGACTAAATGAGAGATCTATGCTGCTTTAGCAGATCTCAGTCCCCAAACCAGGCAGTGCTGATGCAATTTTAATACCAGCATTCAAGAGGTAGAGGCAGGGAGATCTCTATGAGTTCAAGGCATCCTTTGGCTATATACCCAAAAGTGGTATTACTCAGCCTTGAGAAAGGTTGTTTCCTAATTTTCTGAGAAACCGCCACACTGACATCCAAAGGGGCTGTACCAGCAATACAGGAGTGTTTTCTTTGCCCCACAACCTCTCCAGCATAAGTTGTCATCAGTGTTTTTGATCTTCGCCATCCTTTTTTTTGAAGATTGATTGATTGATTTACATAGTATCCTGCTTATAGGCCAAGCGAGGGCACCTGATCTCATTATAGGTGGTTATGAGCCACCACATGGCTGCTGCAAAATGAACTCAAGACCTCTGGAAGAGCAGTCAGTGCTCTTAACCACTGAGCCATCTCTCCAGTTCTGATCTTGGCCATTCTTACAGGTGTAAGATGGAATCTCAGAGTTGTTTTGATTTGCCTTTCTCTGATGACTAAGGATGTTGAACATTTCCTTAAGTGTCTTTCAGCCATTTTAGATTCCTCTGTTGAGAGTTCTCTGTTTAGGTCTGTATTCTATTTTTTTTTATTGGATTATTTGTTCTTTTGATGACCCATTTCTTGAGTTCTTTATATATTTTGGAGATCAGACTTCGGTCTGATGTGGAATTAGTGAAGATCTTTTCCCATTCTGTAGGCTGTCGTTTTGTCTTGTTGACCGTGTCCTTTGCTTTACAGAAGCTTTTCAGTTTCAGGAGGTCCCATTTATTAATTGTTTCTCTCAGTGTCTATGCTGCTGGGGTTCAATTTAGGAAGTGGTTCCCTGTGTCAATGTGTTCAAGTGTACTTCCCACTTTCTCTTCTGTAAGGTTCAATGTAGCTGGCTTTATGTTTGTCTTTGATCCATTTGAACTTGAGTTTTGTGTATGATGATATGGGTCTATTTTCATTCTTCTACATGTTGATATCCAGTTATACAAGCACCACTTGTTAAATACGCTTTCTTTTTCCATTTGATATTTTTAGCTTCTTTGTCAAAAAAATTTTTTTTTTTCCCTCTTTTGAGACAGGGTTTCTACACAGCCCTGAAGCTTCTGGCACTCTGTAGACCACGCAGGCCTCAGGCTCAGAGAGATATACCTGCCTCTGCTTCCCAAGAGACTATGAAGCCCTAGCTAGAATAGAACTTGATAGATATGTAGACCTGGCTAGCCTATACCTCAAAAAGATCTGGCTACTCCTGACTTCCAGTGCTGGTATTACTGACATGTACCACCATCATGCCTGGCCCGAAACACATCCTTTTATGCAGTAACTTACACATTTTTGCTGTTCTCTGTTCCCTGTATACAATGTCCTTGTAAGTCACAATAAGTGGCAAATGAATCTGGTGTTCAAACATGTCTGTTAGATTTCTGTGTTATTTTTATTAACCAGTCACTTCCTACTATTACTGCCACTGAGAGCTCGGTGTCTCCGGCTCAATGATCATTCTGACTGTTCTTATTCATTCCTCACCTTCCTCGGGGGCAGCTGACGCTCCTTCAGGTAGTGTGGGCTGTAACTCCCCAGCTTCAGAATGACTTTCCAAATCTGCTACCTGCATTCCTTCCAGGCGACCTCCTTTTGCATTAGCCCTGAAAGAGTGAAAAAACAACATGATATTTTCAAATGTCTAAAAAGTGACATAATAATCTATATTTTCTTTTTTCCTTTTTATTTGTATAATATTAAATTTCCATTTTTTAAAATTTCATTTAAGATTCAGAATAAAAGGTTATGAAATGGCAAATTACCAAATCTTGTTTATGACAATGTATGGATAATTCTGCAAAATGCTATCAGTAGGGGACAAAGACAAGGTATGTGGGACCTCTCTACTATTTCTTAAAATGGTTTGTCAATAAGTAATTATCCATTAGAATAGATATAAACACAATTCTCACGACTGTTGAAAGACAGAGAAGCATTAGTGAGTAAGAAATCAAGGTGCACTACTGGTAAAGACTGCCACCGCTGCTCAATCTGCATAGAGCAGAGAAGGCACAACACACATGTAGAGCTGAGAGTAGCAGGGCTGAGTGAGGGCAGGGGCAGAAACAAGAATGAGGACATTTTCACTTGCTGTTTTTCCCATTTTCACTGGAAACTACTTTATTATTATTATTATTTTGCCTTATTACTACAAATGTAGCAAGGAGGAAGAAAAGACACAAGCAGGAGAGTATCCATATGAAGCAGGCTGACACTATTCCTAACTAGCTCACTGTGGTGGTTTGAATGCTTGCTTTTCAGTTAGTGGAACAGTCTGGGAAGGATTAGGAGCAAGTGTGGCCTTGACGAAGAAGGTTTAAAAGCTGACACCAGGCCCAGTCTCTGTCTCTATCTCTCACTTGCAGCCTGAGGATCTAATTTAAACTCTCAACTCCTGCTCCAGCACCATGCCTGTCTGTGTCCCACAATGATGATCTTGGACTAACCCTCTAAAACTGTAAACAAAGTCCCAATTAAATGCTTCCATTTTTATTTTATTTTATTTTATTGGTTTTTTGAGACAGGGTTTCTCTGTAGCTTTTGGAGCCTGTCCGGAACTAGTTCTTGTAGACCAGGCTGGTCTCAAACTCACTGAGATCAGCCTGCCTCTGCCTCCCGAGTGTTGGGATTAAAGGCATGCGCCACCACTGCCCAGGATGCTTTCATTCGATAAGACTTGCCTTGGTCATGGTGTCTGTTCACAGCAATAGGGCAGTAATTAAGACTCCTACCTTCTACTTTAATGTCTTTTTTCCCTTCCCTTTTTGAGAAAGCAATGAATTTCATCAGCGTTGCTTATACCAGCATGGGTAAGGGTTTGTTTGTAAAGAGTATAAGTACCTTACCACTGGAAGACTCTCTTCCCTGTCAACTACAAACTATTTTTAAACTTGAAGGGGTGAGGGACGGGCAGCCACAGTGTGCATGTCCCACTTTCATGACAAGGTGTTGATGGGCCCAATCTTGTTAGAAAGTCCAGCTGCTATGAAAGAACTTTGAACTTTTACACAAAATTTTGTTCCACACATATGTGTATGTGTGTGTATATATGAATATAACATATAGTTGTTATAACTAAATGATACAGATATCTCTATAACAAGTTAAAATATGAATGAAAGCTAAGGCTCAGTGTTTGAAAGCACTGGCTACCAGAAGACCCGGTTTGATTCCGAGTATCCATACAGCAGCTTACAGATGTCTGTGGCTCAAGTATTGGGAATATAACACTCTCTTCCAGCCTCCATGGGCACCAGACATACATGCAGACAAAATGTCCACACATCAAAAAATTTTAAAGTAAAATAAATAAAAAAGAAAGTTAGTTGTATCTTTAACTTGAAAGAAATGTATTATCAGGCTAGGTGATAGGGGAGGTAAGTTTCCTGGTTGCCCCTCCACTAAGAGCCTCCTCCCCAGCCCTAATAATGGGAACTGAACCATGGCTACAGCAATGTACATGCTAAGATATGCTATACCAAGGAGCTGAATCTCCAGGCAATTTTGAAAATTTTGAGTCAAGATCTTGCTAGGTTGCCCACAGAGGCTCCCAACTTTCAATCCTGTGGCCTCTGGTCTCCTCAGCAGCTGCGACACAAGAGTTTGTACCATGCCAGGCTCCCTACTGACTTTCTTTTCTACTGTTGACTTGAGTTAAAAACAAAGTTAAGCCTCCGTCTGTCCTTCTGGAATTGGTAATCGGCCAACGTAAGATGATGGTCTTTCTATAAAGACCCTTCCAAAGTTTCCACAGAAAACTATTCCGTTATCTAAATTAGAAAGGTACTCAATGTTTATGTGACGGATGAACACTGATGGCTCAACGAGCACATCCACAGTCAATACATTCTTTCTATAGTCAATACTCGGCATGCTGGGCTCTGAATAGAGATAAAGATGTTGATCACCATTTATCATATCTAGAAATTCTAACTAGCATTTTAGAAAATGATTTCAAAAGACAGCAAAAGAGTGAGATAAAAGCAGTGCTTTAAAAACAGTTAGTTAAGCCAGGAATGTGGCTCATGTCTGTAATCGCAGCACTTGGGAGGCTAAGGCAAAAGGATCAAGAGCTGAAAGCTATCCTGGGTTATATGAGACCCAGTCTCAAATCAAACAAACAAAACCAACAGTAATCATCAATACAATTACTGGAAATACCTTACTCAACACAAATATGTGACACACTTTTTTTTTTTAATGACACATGACCTCTGGAAGAATGCATGACAGATTAAAATGCAAAGCAACATGTAAAGCTGAAATATACACACATCTCACAAGGCAATGTTTGCTCGGGTTAGCCTGTTGTAAGCAAAAAAGAGCCCTAAGCTAGCTGTAGTGGCTCACTTCTATAAAACAGTACTCATGAAGCTGAGGCAGGAGGACTGCTGTCATTCTGCAGGGGTTGGGGGAAGGGTAGAGAGAGGAGAGTAACAGAATGACATCATTTTAAAAAAGGATGACATTTTAATGCAATAAATAAACTTCCTGCACACCTCAAACACTAGCAAAATAGAAATGATTTTGTTCATTATAGACTTAAAATTCTAAACAACGAAAGAGTATTATTTACCCCAAGGCAACCATTTTCCTTCTTTTCTCAACAGTAGGTAAGCCATTGAAAACTGCAACCACCACAGCATCAGAATCCAAAGCTTTGCATTGTCGGTCTTCACTTTTGGGCAGAATATCCCCAATGATGCTATGTGTCAGGGCTCGGGGAGAGTTGTGTCTGCTCCCAGACTGAGAGTTTCCGGGGGACCCTTCGGGAAAGGAGGAGACGACCGTGAACATGAAAGCTTCTTAGTGTAGAAAATTACTTGATGTGCATAATTAATTTTTAAAATGTTAAATGTGGGGCTAGAGAGATGGTTCAGTAGTTGGGAGCACTGGCTGCTCTTCCAGAGGACCCAGGTTCAGTTCTCAGCACCCACATGGCAGCTCACAACTGTCTGTAACTCCTGTTGCAAAGGATTCAACGCCCTCATACAGGCAAACCAGTGTGCATGAAACAAAACTAAAAAAAATTTTAATGTAAGCATAGTTTTGCCTGCATGTATGAATGTGTACTGTGTGTGTGTGTGTGTGTGTGTGTGTGTGTGTGTGTGTGTGTGTTAATGGAGGCCAGAAGAGGGCACCAGATCCCCTGGAATTAGAGCTACACATAGTTGTGAGTCACCATGTGGGTGTTGGTAATCAAATCCAGGACCTCTGCATGAACAAAAGAGTGCCCTAAACCATAAGCCATGTATGTTTCCAGCCTACTATACGTACATTTTAAGCTAGGTTAAAACTTCAAAACAATGAAAAAGTTATCCCAATCTTTTTGACTAGTTACTTAAATATTAACAAGTGCAAAACATATAGTTGAAACACTGTTCTGATTTGAGATCAAGAAACTTCAAATATTACAGCCCAGGAGCCAAGTCAGCAATTCCAGAACTAGGGTGGCTAAGAAAGGAAAATCAAGAGTTAAAACCCAAAAATAAGACAAAAGAAATACATAAACTTGGAGAGAAAACAAGGGTCCCACAAAATCAGAAGTTCAACTATAATTTTAGCATCTTTGGTGCCTTTCAAGGTTAAAGCTAAATCCAAGCATGTACCCAGCAAAATTTTATTGCGAATCCCATATTCACCTTCAGACAAAGCCTGGCAGTCTCCCTTTGAACGGCTACTTTCTCCAGAGTCCATAGCTCTTCGGAGTGACAGACTGCCTGCTATGGCCCGAGCTGACTTGGGTGAATTCTTCTTATTTGTGGCTACAAAAACATTTAGAAGCATTTCTGAATATGGCAAAATATCATATAACTCACCATATAGTCAGAGAAACATCTAATCCTCACCACATGTGGATGGTTTTTTGACTACAATGTCCAAAACAATAGGGCACTCTGTGGTCCTGACAGTTTACTTAGCATTCTGCAACAAAAATATTTCTATTTTGTTTCTTGTGAAACAGAATCTTAATAAGATTAACTATGACCTCATTTTGAAACAGTTGTATAAATTAAGACAATGAAGTATAAACAAAAATATAACCCTTTAATGCAGGGGTTCTCAACCTTCATAACGCTGCAACCCTGTAATACAGTACCTCATGCTGTGGTGACCCCCAACAATAAAATTATTTTGTTGCTACTTTATAACTTTAATTTTGCTACTGTTATGAATTGTATTGTAAATATCTAATATGCAGGCTATCTGCTATGCAACCCCCAAAGCGGTCATGCCCACAGGTTGAGAACTGCTGCTTTAATCTAAGCAACTGGAAACGGTGCTTGATTCCATCAAAACGTAATCAATGCTGAATCTGAAACAGATCATAAGTATAATACTTCAAAATATTTGTGACCAAATAAAAAACTGTGGCAAAAGCAGTAATGACAACAAAATGTAGAGGGTGAGGCAGGGAGGAGACACAGGATGGTACAGTAACATCACCACCACAGCAAGGACTAATCAACTGTGCAGGCACACTCAAGAAATCACCAAAATAATAAATAATAAAATGATGACAAGAAGCAGGAAGACTGTGAATTCAGAGCCAGCCTGGGTGATATGAGACCCGTCTCAAAAAACCAAACCAAAGGAGCTGGAGAGACAGCTCTGTGTCTAAGAGCACTGACTGTTCTTCCAGAGGACCTGTGTTCAATTCCTATCACCCACATGGCAGCTCACAACTGTCTATAACTTCAGTTTTTGGGGATCTGAAGAAGGCACCTTCACACCAATGCACATAAAATAAATTTATACACACACACACACACACACACATACATACAGAAAAGCACAGGAGATTTATTGACAACAGGGTTAGCACACTTGGTTTTGTCCTAAAGAATATGATTTTTAAAAAAAATCACAAAATTTTAAAATAAACTTTATATTTTAAAGACTTATTTATTTATTCATTTACTTATTATATATACAGTGCTCTGCCTGCATGATCACTGCAGAGGGCACCAGACCTCATTACAGACGGTTGTGAGACACCATGTGGGTGCTGGGAATTGAACTCAGGACCTCTGGAAGTGCTCTTATCCTCTCCAGCCCCTTAAAATAAACTTTAAAAAACTATTCCTATCAAAAACAACACACAGCAGAATTAGCCAGACCCAAAGACTACACAACTCAGTAAACTGCTATACAGTGGAGCTTCACATTCGATTTCATGCTTTTAGCACTGAATATATTTTATGTACTCATCTACCACTACCAAAAATCATTGACAGAATTAGAACTTAAAAAAATAGCTTATGTTCTCCCTCCTTCTGCTCCTCATTTGGACCTTGGGAGCTCAGTCCAGTGCTCCAGTGTGGGTCTCTGTCTCTATCTCCATCCATCGCCAGATGAAGGTTCTATGGTGATATGCAAGATATTCATCAGTGTGGCTATGGGACAAGGCCAGTTCAGGCACCCTCTCCTCTGCTGCCCAAGGAACAATCTGGGGACCTCTCCTTGGACCTGGGAACCCCTCTAGAGTCAAGTCTCTTGCAAACCCTAAAATGGCTCCCTTAATTAAGATATTTACTTCCCTGCTCCCATATCTACCCTTCCTCCATCCCACCCATCCCATTCCCCCAAGCTCTCCTGAATCCTCTCCTTCTCCCTTCTCTCTACCCATCTCCCCTAACATCCACCCCCCCACACCCCCATGCACCCAACTTTTGCCTGGCAATCTTAGTCAGGACCGCGAGGGGTGTGTCCACCCACTGAGATGGTGGACTGATCTAATGGGAGCTCACCAAGGCCAGCTGGAGTGGGACTGATGGAGCATGTGATCAAACTGGACCCTCTGAATGTGGCTGGCAATGAAGGCTGACTGAGAAGCCAAGGACAATGACACTGGGTTTTTATTCTACTGCATGGACTGACTTTGTGGGAGCCTGGTTTATTTGGATGCTCACCTGTATAGACCTGAATGGAGGGGGGAGGACCTTGGACTTCTCACGGGGCAGGGAACCCTGACTGCTCTTAGGACTAGAAAAGGAGGGGGAGGTGGAAAGGGGGAGGGAAAAGGGAGGTGGGGAGGAGATGGAAATTTTTAATAAATAGATAAATAAATAAAATAGCTTAACCAACAAAACAAAAACAAACAAACAAAAATTAGATGGGCAGTGGTGATGCACATCTTTAATTCCAGGACTCAGGAGGCAGAGCCAGGCAGATCTCTGTGAGTTCGAGGTCAGCATGGTCTACAAAGCGAGTCCCAGGACAGCCAGGGCACAGAGAAACCCTGTCTTGAAAAACAAACAAAAAAGCTTTATATCCTTTTTCTAGACCTGTGATGTTTTCATTTGCAAGTTTTTTATAACAAAGCTTATAAAATAAAACAGAAACCTATCTCTTTTACAATATCAAAAAGAACAAAGTACTCAGTAACACTTAAAAGACTCGCATATCAAAACCTGTTACACATTATAAAGGAAAACGAATGAGTGACATTTATGACATGAGTGACAGCTTTGTGTTCAGACAGAGACAGTATTGCTAAAGGAACACTTCTAAAATTAATCTACAGATTTAACACAATCTACGTAAAAATGCCTTTTTTATTATTGTTGTTTAAAAAAACCATTATCTAGGGTCTGGAAAGATGGCCAGGCTGATAAGGGACCTTGGCCAACTCCAACAGCCTGAGTTCAATCCCTAGAATCCATAGGGTGGGAGGAAAGAATCAACTCCTTTACGTCGTCCTCTGACCTCCACACAAGGTTCTTCCCTAAGAAATGTAAATAATAATAATAACACAGGTTCCTAAAATTTCTATGAAACTCTAAGAGATCTAGAACAGCAAAAGCAACCCCGAAAGGAAGACTCCCTTTCAGACCCACTGCCAGGGGCGACTCCTGAGCCTTAGGCTTCCAGCCCACCACAAGTGGATCCGCAGCTGGGGAGTCAGGACTAAGTGGGCATGGCAACGCTAATCCCTCAAAAAGCTCTAATGCTGCCTCACAAACAAGAACAATAGAGCAAGAAAGCTGAGAAGAGCAGTGCTGCACACCTGAGGTCCTAGCGCCAGGGAAGCTGAGATAAGAGGACTGTTCGGACTCGAAAGGCAGCCTCAACGGGCTGCACAGTGAGTTCCAGGCCAGCCTGGTTTACAGAACGAGATCCAGTCTTAAACAGAGGTGGGTGGCTGAGGGGTCAACGCAGGAACATGGTGCAGTTAGAACCAGAATGTACGATTTCCACATTCAGCATTGCTGAGCCTCTCCCCCACCGCCGCCAAAAAAAAAAAAAGATTCCAAAAAAAAAAAAAGGACAAAACAACTGGGTGGTATCAGCATATGGACAGATATCTATCAAAATTGAGAATCCAGAAGCAATTTATACTTTGATGTTAACAAGGATGTCAAGACAACTCAACGGTAACAGGGAAGAGGTGTTGTTCTTCTTCCTCTGGGATTGTAGGTCTGCGAGGAGGGAGCCAAAGTGGGACCTGGGCTGGGATGGCTGGAGCATACAATGGTGACAGCCCTGGGGAGATGACTTCAGGGAGTAAGGAGCCTGGGGACAAACCCTAGTTTACATTAAGTGGAATGATTCTATCCTAAGGTTTCGTGACAGTAGGGGCCTATAGCAAAGCTCCTAGTTCAAGTCTTAGTTACCATATGTGCAGAGGGGAAAACCTGCTAGCAGGAAATGGTCGCTAGAGATAAGTCAACTCTACTTCTAAGTGTGCACTCAAAATAAAATATTGTCTACATAGTAATTTATAATATATGATCACAGTACATTATGCTACATCAGTGATTAT